TTTTATATAAAAATAACAAAAAAAAAAAATTGCTTTTGTGGTCATTTGTTTGAGTCACTATATTATTGCCATTCTAACCACCTAAATAAAACGGACATTGGTGGCACGGTCAACTTCGTTGATCGAAAAAAGCCTAAATAAAAAACAAATGACTGTATTCCCAATAATGTATGTATTTACATATGTATGTATATTAGACATACCTCCTACAGACAAAAGAAAATAGTTCGCCGTACATCTGACACCCCAATTCAGCAATAAAAAAATTTGCGGCGAACCTTTTTTTCTGGTACAGTCAGAAGTACATATGAGTAAATGGATTTATCAACGAAACTAACGAAGGCTGTGGAAGTTTATTTGGAATGAAGTCAACAAAAAAGGTTCTCCGCAAAAACAATCACCGAAAATTCGGCAATGTAACGTACTAAGGTCTCCATTGAAATTTAATCTAAATAATCTTAATGTACATACATATGTATGTATGTAGGTATTTTTTAATTAGAAATTTAAAAGGCAGCAGTTAAAATTAAAACTCAAAGCTAACCAAAAAAAAACAGAAATATATACGGGCGGAATTTAAACAAAGCTATTAACATTTAAAACATTTAAATTAGAGTTAACTTGAGCTAATTATATGTACATATTTATGTACATACCTTCCTACATACATATATCCGCTTTAACAGAATGAGTGAATAATTGCGCCTTAACTGACCTCGTGCCAGCTGCGGAAAAATAATAAATAAACTAAAAATCAAAGAATTTAGATAACAAAAAACTTTGTTTGCATGTATGAATGTATGTATTGGTACAAATATCTAAAACAAACAAAAATCCCACAAACGAAAAAAATGGAATAGAAACAAGATAAATTTCAATACACAGAAAATGCAAATGCTTATCAATGCACAAGATATATGTATATATATATGAATTGGCGCTTGAATTTGATATTGCAAACCTAAACAATTTTTCTAGATCATTTGAATCATTTTGTTTGAAGAAAGTTTTTTAAGTACTCATTTGAATGATGAAAATACATACATGTGTAGTACAAATGATTTCACACTTTTACATGTTAAAGCAGTGGGCAAAATATAAAACAGAAATTTAATTATAAATATTTATGTATGGATATTGCATACAAATTTCTTTTATGAAATCACAGTTGCACAAGAAGCGGGGTATGAATGAATGAAAAATCATAAAACTTAAAAATGTGCATACATAAATATGTACGTATAACAAAAACGATAAATGCAAATGTATTAAAATAAAACAACAAACACAAACCGCGTAATATGAGTACTCACCCAAGAATTATCTCTGAAATGTGACATTTTTGCGGCCAGTCCCACTAAAAATCCTTCTCTGCGTTTGCTTTCGGTCGACGTTGAAAAATATGTTGGCATGCAATTTTTCGCTGATTGAAAATGTTGTAAAATCCACAACTAATATTCGATTTGCTTTTGTTACTTTGTGGAAAAATGTATGTGCATATGTATATAACAAATTATTGTGCACTTTTAAACCGGTTATGTTAATTTTTTGTAAATTTTGCTGTATGAAGGTAATTAGAAACAAGAGAGAGATACTTTAAGTATTTAAGCGTCTTGAAAGGGAGATTTACATACATACTCGTACATATGTATGTATAGTGTGGTTTTGTATTTATGTATCTACATGCACTTGGTTTGAATGTAAGAGTGGGGCGTAGATTTATTTATCTAAACTTATTTAATTTATGTTATATTTTTAATTATCATATGTATGTATGTATGTATTTTTTTACATATTTTCTTTTTTCGGTTTTGTTTTTATTATATATTTAACTCTTAATTTTTATTTGTAATGCTTTATTATTTTCTTTTTTTATTTGTCTAATGTTTGTTTTTTATATAATTCTACTTTAAGTATTTTTTTGATTGTTTTGTAATATTTTTTAATAATATTGTATTATTTTTACGTAGTTATTTTTTTTTTTGTATTTTACTTTGGTTTGTTTAATTTTACTGTATATCATTTGTTATTTGATTTTGTTTTATTTTTTAATTGATATATTTGGTTTATTTACCTTTTTTGATTTAATAAATTGTTTTTTTTTTTGGTTATTTTATATTATTTTTATTTAGATTTTAAAAGCCATTGTATTTTATTTTTTGCTTTATATCACATTACTACATTAAATGCTTTATTGTATTTGAATTTATACACTTTTTTTATTTAACTTACTAATTTTTAAATTAATTTCTTTCTTACTTCTATTTTATGTTGTTTTACCTTTTTTCTAATTATTTCACTTTAGTTATTTCAATTCAAATGTTTGCATTATTTAATTTAAATTAACGTTTTTTATTACTTGATTTATTTTCACTTTATTTTCCTTGTTTTTATTTTATTTTTGTTCACCTGAACTGGTGTTTTTGCTTATTATAAATATTATTCTATTATATTAATTCATTTCATTTTACTTTATTTTTAATTTATATTATTTTATTTCCATTTTGATGATGTTTAATTTTTATTATTAAATTTCATTTTTATTTCAGTTATTTTCTTAATTTTTATTTATTTTTAATTATTTTATTTTACATTTACATAATTTATTTTATTTTCCATTACTTTGATTTATGTAAGTAATTTAAAATTTTTTTTTGTTATTATTTTTAATTTACTTTTGATTAACTTTTGTTTTATTTTATATCACATTTTTACATTAGATACTTTATTGTATTTCATATACATATGTACATACATAAGTGTATACTTTATAATCTTCTTATTTTGCCTCTTTTATTTTTAGTTATGTATATATTTTTTATTTTAACTTAATTTTTTTTTTTGCATAATATTTTTATTTTTTCTATTAAATTATTTTCTTTCATTTTATCTATTTTTATTTCATTTTATATATTTTTATATAATTTAATTTAATTTCTTTATTTATTTTTTTAACTTTTTGCTTTTACATATTTCATTTTATCTCATTTCGCTAATTTTATTTTTATATTATTTTACCTAAGCTCATTTAATTTTTTATAATGTTTAGTTTTTATGTGATATTGCTTTATCATTACTTATATATTTTAAATCTATTATCACTTTATTATCCATCTTTGTTTTTTTTTGTCTATGTTTTTATTTATTTATTTTTGATGAATTTTGTATATGTTTTGTTTTATCAGTTTTTAGTTATTCTATTATTTACATATCAGTTTTTACATTTTTTTTTTCCATTAACTTTTCCAATTATGTTTTTGCCATGCAGAATTACACATTTACATACATACAAATGTGCAAGTATATTTATATTTTTAACACATTTCACACGTCTGTACTCATGCACTTTGCACTCTTCACCGCTATCTTCGCAGTTGTAGCTATTTTGCTATTGTTCCTGTTTCACTTCGTAACACAAAAACCACCTGTAAACACAACGCTCTGGCCATGTTTGTGTTTATGAGCGTATATTCATATGTATGTATGTATGTATGTGCGATACTGCACCTCCTCATCACTCGCCCATTTCTACTTAGTTAATTTAGAAACTCTTTTTTTTCAATTTTATTACTGAGCTTACTAACAAAACCCAGCTAGTTACTGTTGCTGTTTATATACTACAAATGTACATCACTGTTATTGTTGTTGCTGTTGTTTTGGTTTTATTTTCAGTTTTTTTTTATTTTTCGCCGATGGCTGATGTGTTTTGTGTGACGTGACTTGACGTGCTGTCTACTTGTGGCGTGGCTCTGGCGTTTAGTAGCTGCCGGCATACATATGTATGTATGTACATGCAACAGAATTGCCAGCAGCGACAACAACAACAACAAAAACACACTCCCAACTGCAATTAAGCCAATATCATCACTACATATTTTGTGTAGAATTTTTAATGATTGTTGGTAAGGTGCAATGCGGTGTGGTAGGTAATAGGTAACTACCTACAGCCATTGTGATTTTCATGAGATACTTTTGCTTCGAATGCCCGCGAAATGCAGTAATACATACATATGTATGTATTGGCGATAACAACAAAAGCTCCGATCACATACATATGCACATATGTACATATGTAAGTATTTTGCTTTTGTTGTTGCACCTCTAGACCGCCTCAGTAGCAGCAATGCGTCGTCAACGGACTGTGAACACCAACAGCAATGCATTATAGGTGTTTTTTTTTTTGTTGTAAGCATTGCTTTGGTTTTTGTTACCAAATAATTACAAGCAATTTAGGTAAAATTGACTTTGACTGAATTGGCTTGAAGCCGAAAAAAGGTAATAGCAGCTTAAGAGCAATCAATAACAGCAATAACAGTTGTATTACAAGGAAAAAAAAACGATCGAAAAAAATGTTAACCTAATTTTTTTTTTTAAGTTGCAATAGTTTAATTATTTATTTTCCAAATATTTTTCTTTTTTTGTGCCTTATGCACACGACTTAAGTATTTGAAAGCGTTGTACGTTGGAAGCAAACTTTTTATTATTTTATCATCTGTTAGCAGGAAATAAGTATTTTATTATTACTTTCATTGAAAGCAGGCACATAGCTCCAACATACGCCACATTTGATTTCCCTTTATTTCGCTGTTTGTTTTATTAATTAACACATTATCATATAAATCATTACACATTTTCTTTCACCACTTATTGCAATTTCGCAATTTTCGCATTAATTTTATTTTCGTATGTACATATTAAATTCACTTATTAATTAACACTTCACCACAGTCGTGGTTTTCCTTTCGCTCAAATAGCACCAAGAAGTACCCAACTTCATTTAATTTTTGCGATTTGGGTTGGACTTTTAATATTGTTGTTTTGTTTTTATTTTTTTGAATTTTTTGAATTATTTTTTTATTCATTTACTTATTTTTTTTTCATACCGTTTTCGACGTCTACGGACGCTGCAGCTAAATAAACGAACCGTTCGCATTGAGAATACGCGGCGTATTAATAACACAAAACGACTCCGCTGTGAACTCGAACTTGAATGCGTCGATTGGAGCCACTTCCAGCATGTTCGAGTGGAGCTTCATACAAACAATAAAATTTGCAGTTGCAACATGTTGGCAGTAGGTGCTATAAATAAATGTAATAAGAGAGTAAATAAAAAGGTTAGTTTTATGGTGCCCACTTCTTAATGGCGCTAAAATATGAAAGACCGGTAAAACATCTACGAAAGTAAATAAATACGCCCATACATATCGTCGTTTAAAGTACAAAACCGCGTATCAACAAAATGCAAAACCGTGTATCACCAAAATGCAAAACCGCGTATGTGAGGTTGCATAAATTATTTTCTAGAGAGTAAATACATTCATATTTCAAAATCGTTCTCTTTTTTATAAAGCAATCGCATTTCTGGCTGGTATATTTCAGGACGAACGGATAAGGATTAAGCCAAGAGTTTGTGTGAGCAAATCCAATTTTTGGCAGCCAATGTCAGTTACGCGGTTTCGTACTTTAAACGACGATATGCAGCTATATACATATATACAAACATGTGTAGTTATTATGCACGTGCATAGTATGTTCATGTGTATCTATATTAATAAGTCCTTTGAAATAAATCAAGTGCAATTATTAAAATGAGTGGAAAATTTCTACCTTTTTAAGATTCGCTCATCGATCTCCAGAAACTTGAGGAGGATACTCTGCTTCTGTGTAAAATAAAGACTCATTTACAGCGTTCCTGCCTAAAAAGAATACAATAAAAACAAATATATATATATATATACATATGTATGTACACTAGGGTGCATCACTCGTCCAAAAAAGGTATCGGAATTATAAAGTCTTTTACATATTTATGTATATTATAAGACTTCAGCCGGAATATTTCATAAAATAATAAAATTTACCATTTGAAAATATGTATCTCCAAAACTCCAGTTTTTTGTTAGTAAAATAAATTTTTAGAAAAAAAAAATTTTAAAGACTTACCTCAGATAAAAGATTTTCAAGCTTCAAAGGCCTGCATAAAAATGTTTAAAAATTGTGTCAACGAAATCAAAATAATGAAACGTGTGGAAACGTGTACTGCAAGAGCCGCCTTACCGGATGTAATCATTTTCCATGCTTTGCGCCATATACCAGCATGGGCATGATGAGAGACTTATAGAGTGTGGTTTTCGTACTTCTAGAGAGAACTTACTTCCATCCGGGTGCTCACGTGTGTAGTCACCATGGAAAAAATCCATCAATTGGGCTACGACTTCCTACTCCTTCAACATCACAGAAATGAAAACCAATTTATGGGTCCTCTAAATATTTATAGCAAAGCAACCTCAGTTAGGTCGCCGATGGCAACATCATTGAAGTGCAAATTTATACATATTATGGGTAGTCATGGGAACGCGTAAATACCTCATAACCGCGTAAACCTCGTAAATAAACAGAGCTCGAATCGTCACATACGATATCGTATTACTCGTCACGTAAAAACACCGTTTTCGGATTTTGACATATGTACGTGAGCGTACTCTTTATCCAATTCAGCTTATACGACTGACGATATCACGTAATTTTATTTCGTATGGTTTTCGATTCGTGAACGGATGTTACGATTCGAGCCCTGGTTTTCCATACAAAATTATGTAAGGTTACGAGGTTTACTGGTTAAAGTGTTGTCACATATGTGTGTAATTGCATCTGTCTGTCAAATTCACAGTCTTTATTTAACTATTTAAAAATACGTTCTTTGCAATCGAAACAAACTAAACTCAGATGATGTGTGTCAGATGAAAATAGAAACATTTCTATTTCGTATGTACGTGCATCTGCTTTGTACAGAAACAAATCTAATTTGCATTTACACGATGTGTTGGCATATCCATATGTAAATAGTGGCATGTACACATGCAAATACAAATCGTGTAAAAACACCCTTACAAGGCATCTACGCGTTTAGATGAATTGCCTTATTGTGAATAGCAAAGTGAAGTGCTATAAAATTGAACACAATAAAATATTGGGGTTTGGAAATTTGGAAGTTTTCTAATTGAGAGAGAATTTCAGAGAATTGCAATTACTCTCTCTTTGCAAGTTGAGTAATGGATAATTTTTGCTGGACTTTTCGGCGAACATACCATGGTTTGTTGCAAGCATACGTAATGACTTGTTACTCCTTTTACTGTTTTATACCAATTTCGAAATTATCGGTGATTACATTTATTATAAATACTTACCGCTGGTTTCCCGTTTGAAGTATCACGAGCGGCAGAATTTCAAAACCTAGATAAATGTCTTTTGTATTTGTTATGAAAAAACTAAAAGACAAATAGAAAAGATGACAAATGAAAAGAAAAGAAGACAAATAAAATGAAAGTAAATGAAAGAAAGTAGAATTAAGGAAAAAATTAAGAAAATGAAATTTAAAATAAAATCAAAGAAAATAAAACAAAATTTAAGAAAACAAATTAACTTTAAATAAAATTACATAAAGTAATAAATAGATAAATAAAAAAAATTTCAAAAATCAAATACAGTAAGTATAAAAAATCGAGAAAGCGACAAATTAAAAGTTAAGTAATTTCGAATAAAAATATTATAAAATAAAATGAAAGAATGTGAAATGAAAGAAAAAATTTTACGAAAATAAAATTAATTTGAAGAAACTAAATTACCTTAAAATAAAATAACATAAAATATTAAAATAAAAAAGTAAAGATATTTTAAATGTAATAAAATAAAATTAAAGAAAATAGAATGAAAGAGAAAAATTAAGAAAATAAACTAGCTTAAAATAAAATAATGCATAGATAAATAAAATAAATTTCAGAAAGGAAATACAGTAAATGTTAAAACTCAAAAAAGCAACAAAATAAAAAAGTATAAACCAACTCAGGATGTGTGAAGTGCGAGCGAATAATTGTTAAGAAAAATTCAGTTTCCTGACAAACGTTTATTTTTAAAAGTTAATTTTTATTTGTTTGCTTTTCGCCTTTCCTACTTTACAATACAACGTTTTCGTTGGCATTTTAGTCATTACTTTTTAAATGCTCTGGCTTATTTAATACATATTACACAGCATTTGCTTACTTATAGATTTAAATTAGATTTAACACACACATACATTTCAACTTGTTATATGTAGTAGGGTAGTAGAGTGTACAGTTAATAAAAGATAAACTTAGGAAATGCAGACTTATAGCAACACACTGACACATAAATTACAGTAGCGGCTTAAAAGCTGAGAAACAAAGTTTGCAGGTGCAAAACTTAATCAAAAATATATGTATGTATGCATATATATATTTAAATAAGACAACAAAAAGCAACCGCTTATGTAATATATATGTATATGCGATTATAAAATGACACTCATTAATGTTTACTATTTGCACTTTTGTTATCATTTTTTCTTAATTAAATTAATAAGCCTTGTTTGATGTGATTAAAAAATGTTTAGTTAACTTATTTTGTAGAAAAACTTATTATTAAATAACTTAATTTTTTATCATTATTTTATAAAAATGTAAGTATAACTTTGCAGTCAAACTATAAAGTGCATTAAAGTGAAATAATTTATTCGCAGCACATACCGTTAGTTCACGTATATGACGAAATAGTTTCAAAACTTAAATAGTTCCTTATTGCTTAAGTTAGTTTGCATAGGTAATTGTTTAATATTTTCAGTGTGTATTAGGGGTGTTCTTATTAGACTCGAATATTTTAATTTTAAGTTCAGCGTTGTGAGATCAAGATTCAAACTGTTAAGCTGTCTTATGATGAAATAAAATTGAATTTAATTTACTACAACAAAATTTTTTATTTATTTATTTTTATAAGGTTCAGAAATATTAATCAAAAGTGATAATTTTAGAACATCAGCATCAAGACATTAGAGCCAACAATATACATATGTACATGCCTACGTCTCTGGAAACTTAAGCCTTTTGAAGGTTAGGTGAGATTTCCCTATTATATATTAGTTTTATTTCAGATTTTTTAAAGGTTCACACTAAGTTAGTGATTATTAGATTGGGATTCGGTAGTTATAAACAAATTCCTAATAAAACTAAAAAATGTTTTGCTGCTAACATCCATGCAAATTTTTATAAAAAAAACAACCCCCTTTGAACGAAAGGTTTACAAAATAAGAACACCCCTAATATATAATCTAGTTGGTTGATATTCATAACAGCGGTGCATTAAAATTTTGCATAACATTTAGAAGTTTGTAGGGTTTTTGTATTTTCTTGCTTTCCTTTGAACGCTTTTATTTGAATGTCGTACGTTCATAAGTATGTGAGAAGGTGCATGAAAGTGATTCGCCCTTTTGGCTATGAGCAATTAGGGCACATTTTTGTGAAGTTAACAACTTTAATATTTCAATTGGCCTCTATCTTACAGTAAAACACAAAAGAGAATGCATTACCCACATTACGGTATGTAGGAATAGTTTTTTTTTTTTTTTGAAAATATTTGGAAAGAGTTCTAATTATATGCTTCAACAATTGTACGTAGTAGTTTTATAAGCAAGCAGTTTTGCATATGTATTTGGCAATGCCAATTTTTACAGAGTATTAAAATGAATAGTTAGATTTTTTACATAGCAATATATTTTTAATTACTTAAAATTTACTTTTGAACATTTATAAATTCTCGAACAAAAATAGTTACTCAAAAGAGAAACACTTTTAAAGGCGTTCTCTTTTCTATCGAAATATGTTACATGTATGTACATTAGGGTGATCCAAAAATGCATGTTAAAAAAGTTAAGTCCGAATTTTAATGCTCTCACCCCCTAGGATTAATCTAACTCGAAAAACCATATCCTGCTTTTTTCGGGATCAAAAATATTTAGAGGTCGCTCAACAGCGCTCTAAGTTTTCCATGTATTTTATATTGCATTTTTCTTGCGTTTTTGGGGGACCTATAAAATAAAGTGGCTATTAAAAAATTGTTAAATAAACAAATGGGTATTATAATTGGAATCTCCTGAAGAGAAACAGAGTTTTCCAATAGAAAAATATTGATTTTCAAGAATTCTATACCATTTTTAAGAAAAATTGTTTTTTCCCCCATATAAAATACATGGAAAACTTTGAGCGCATTGAGCGACCACAATTTTTTTTTTTTATCGTATATAGTTTTTTGATACAGAACACGCCTAGAGGGTGAGAGTATTAAAATTGCAATTTCACTTATTTTGGACCACCGTAATGTACATACATTGCCCTCTTCAAGAATCACTAATGAAAATTTAAAAATTTCGACAGCAATGAAAACACCTTTACAAAAAGTCATAGTAATCGCACAGATTTCCGGGAAAAAACTCGGATTCTGGCAAAGATGTAATTGTAAAATAATAATTTCCACTAAACTGTAAACATTTTTTTTTTTTTTTTTTTTTTATAAAATGACCCGTAGTTATAATTCTTTGATATAACATATGTTCGTTAAAATCAAATATCCACAATAAACACAAACAATAATGCCAGTTTTTGCACAAAATAAGTGGCTAATTATATGTAGAAGAAAATGAAATCGCTTTGAGATTCAAAAAACCCACCAGTACAGATTCTGAAGTCGATAAAATAAATTGTTGGAGCGTTCCACAAATTTGATTGTGGATTTCACAGTCGAAAACAAAAAGACCAGCGTTTTTACGGTTTTTGTACGCAAAAAGTTTTTATTCTATTATTTCTATGGAAGAGGTTCGATCTGGAAACTTTAAAAAAGCTATATCGAAAATAATGATAATACTTAAAAAATCAAGATTTTCACATATTAGAGGCGAGTTAGCTACATCTAGTGAACCTTAAAACGCAAAGAAACAACAGACCAGCAGAAGCCAAAGCTGCAAAGACGTCTTTGACATCGGTATTTTCAAAAGTAAAAAAAAAACTACCATTCACGGCGCATAAAAAATGCTTTTACGAGCTGCCAGTGGATTAAAATCCATAAAAAAGAACGATAAAATATCGACCGGTCTGATTTTCTACAGTCAGATAAGAGATTTTAGAATAAAAGATATCATCGGGACGGGTTATATAACGGATTATGTGTTGATTTTCATAATTTGGATATGGAATGGAAATATCCCAACCTTTGTCACTTAAACATTAAAATTAGAAGTATTTGTTTTTGGTATTAAACAGGTTCGGTATATTATATCCGGTGAGTTTGTAGAGTATTTTACTTGTATGTTTTTATACTTGTTTAAATTCTTGATTTTCAATTTATGATTCAATGAATTTGTTTGTTTTCAAAAAGGCAATTTTTGATTATTCAATAAATAAACTTTCAATGTTAAA